GGATGCAGCTGACGGGCACCGGGCACCGGCACCTTCCACCGCCGGGGCATCCCCGGCCTCCGCCCAGCGCCGCAGCGCCCGGGCCCGGCAGCCGCCCCATCCCGGTGGGACCCCGGGCGAGCCCGCGGCCGGGCACGCAAACCCAGCCTGGCACCTTCAGCCGGGCACCCGCACCCTGCAGCCTTGGTAGCAGCAGCACAAATGAGGCTGCACCCCAAACAAGCTGCTCCCTGCGGTCGGGCGTTCAAATCGACCTTGCAGCCTGCAGGCTGGCATCCAGAGCCAGCCGGGCACTCGGCAGCCTGGCCCTGCCCAGCGGGTCCCACCCAGCAACCTCCCCTCCCACCGGGGTGGTACCCAGGCATGGCAGGGCAGGCAGAGCCGCCCAGCGCTGATCCCCGCACGGCTCTGCCACGCACGGAGCTCCAGGCTTTTGTTGTGGGGTGCTCCCAGCACAAGGAAAAGCTTCTCCCCGACCTGGAGCAGAAATTTTGCTCCAGGTTTTTCCAGCAGGCCTCAGCCAGGTTCATGCCTGGAGGGGGATGCTTTGCTTTGTGTGAGCCTTGCTCAAGACATCATCTCCTGCCCACCAGCAGCTGCTGCGGCACAGCAGGTGCCCCACACGCCCTCACCGGCCCTGGAAATAACCCTTAATGAGCAGGAGGGGAAATGACCAGTCCCTCCCGAGGGTACACATGTGCCTCAAAGGCACAAAGAGCCTCGTGCCCCCAGAGGGCTCAGCTGGTTAAATATTCATGGCTGCCCCTTCCCCAGGACCCCTGAGAACAGCAGCAACTCCTCAGCCCCCAGAACAGTCAGATTGCTTGAGCAATCTCTTTAATGAAGATTAAAAATAATAGTCTAAAAAAACCAATCCCAGAGCGCGGTCCTTTATTTATTTCAAAAAGATAATCCTCCTTTATTTTGCATTTGGTTTTCAAAGCATTAAAAGCAGCCCTCACCGGAGTTTACTCTTAAACCAGTGGACATGCACTGGGGCTGCTCTGTGACACCTGCCACCAGCAGCCCCCTGAGCCCTGCCTGCAGTGTCCCTGCCAGGGGACAAAATGCCACAGGGCCCCAGTGATGAGGCACGGCTCTCCTGCTCCTGCTGCTGCTGCAGGTTTCCACTGAGTATCAGCCATGGGCTGTGGTGTCCCTTGGGAAAGGCACACACCACACTGTGGCTGCAGGTGCTGGCAAGGCACTGAGTGAGGGGGTCCTGCAGCTGCCCCCCGAGGCTCCCAAGCTCCTGCTCCACCTCCACAGCAGCACTGAGTGGTGCCAGCTGCTGCCACGGATCACGGTCAAGCTCGCTGTCTCCATTTGCTCCACTCAGGCAAGCCCTTGGGGATGAGCACCTTGTCCCCACGCCCTCCCACCACAGGGACACAGCCCCTCCTCAGAGGGTGCGTGCCATGGTGGAAGGGCTGCGGGGTCCCAAGGCTGCCCTAGGAGATGACTGCTCCCTGGATGAGCTGCAGCAGCTGCTCCTCACGCAGGACCCTGGGCATGGGCACGGGGGAGCCCAGTGCTTCCCGCAGCCGGGTGAAGCTCCTGGGCCTCACCAGGTGCAGGCACAGGGGCCCGATGCTGCCCTTGAAGCGGAAGGATTTGTAGATGGGGAAATCTTCCTGGAGACACTGGTCCAGCTGCAAGGAGAGGGCCTGTGCTGGTGCCACACTGCCACACCAGCTGTGTCCTTCAGCCCCAGAGCAGAGCCCGTGTCCTGCTCACCTTGTAGCGCTGCACCTCCGACAGGTCCCGCAGGCCCTGCAGCTCCAGGAACACCTCGTAGTGAGGGGCACGGGGCCCTGAGGAGTCACCTGGAGCAGAACCAGGAGAGGTTAAAGCTCAGGAGGGCTGCAGACCCCCATGCAGTGCCAGCTACACTTTTAGGGGGATTTGGACAGCTCAGAAGAACTCACCCAGCAGGCTGCTCTCCACACAGACGTAGTCAACCAGGCGAGCACCCGGCCACAGGCTCAGGGTGCGGCACAGGCTCTGGCAGAACTGCTCCTCAGGGATGCTCTCACCTCTCACACTCAGTGTCTGGCTCTCCCTGAGGTGCAGGGACACACGGTGGGTCACTGGCAGCCTCCTGTCAAACCCTGCCTGTAACCCAGCTCCCTGAGGTGAGGGACAGGCATTGGGGTGTCCTCACCTGCGCACAGGCTCCACCACAGGACACTGCTTGTGGAAGCCTGTCACCTTCAGCACCTCCCCAGTACGGCGCCTGCAGGGCAGGGGGGTGTCAGGGGCACATGGGTGCACGGGGCTGGGGCAGGCAGCCCCCCAGGGCTACACAGCAGGGAGGAGGCACCTGTACTCTCCTGGCTGGGCTGTCACAACCAGCCCGTACTCACGGCCCTCCCAGAGCTCATCCAGCAGCACCGTCCGTGGCTCCTTGCTGGCCGGGCAGGGCAGGAACTCGCAGAAAGCCCAGTCAGGGCACAGCACGAATCGGGGCACTGGCTCCGCTGGCCACAGGTTCACACCAAGCAGGGCTGGGCAGAGGCAGCAGGTGGCAATGTGAGCTCCCCAGACCCCCCTGCTCACCCACAGAAACCTCACCCCTCTGCAAGGGGCAGAATTTTGCTGGTGCCAGGACTGAGGTGTTTTCAGGCTGCAGGAAGGGAATGGGCAGGGCAGGGAGATCTGAGCTGCGATATGGCAGCAGCTCCCTGCGGGCACCCTGGGGACACAACCAGCATCCTGGGGACACTCACCTCCTGCTGCCTGGTAGAAGGGGCAGTAGAAGGGCAGCCCCCGGCAGTCGGCCCGGCGGAGGGAGTCGCAGTAGAGCCGCTCTGTGCCGCACATCGTCCTCACCACCACCACCTCCAGCCGCGGCCACAGCCGCAGCACGATGCCCTCAAAGCCGTGGGCACACTGATCACGGAGCTCGGCTGCCCGGGCCACAGCAGGGCTCAGCAGCGCCTGCAGCTCCTCCCGCAGCTCCTCGGGCAGCCCGGGCTGGGGGCTCAGCCTGCCCCGCTCCAGCTCCTGGGCCAGCCGCGGCCATTCCGAGCGCAGGGTCAGCAGCGCGTCGTGCAGCTCGGCTGCCAGCCCGGCCTCCAGCACATGCAGGGCACGCTGCCGCAGGGCGAAGAGCAGCTGCAGCCGCAGCGCTGCGGCCCGAGAGGGCAGCACGGCGGCCGCGGCCGGGGTGCAGTACAGGGTGGGCAGCGGCCACCCCGCCGGGGCGCGGGGACAGCCGGGGCTCCAGTGCAGCACGGCCGTGCCCCGGCGGGTCAGAGCCCGTGGGAAAGCGGCGCCGAGAGCATCCAGGTAGAGCAGGGAGCCCTGCGGGGGAGGGCGGGTCAGGAGGGCAGACCCTGCGGGATCCGCCCCAGCCGCCCGCCGCTCCCGTACCTGCAGCCGGGGGTCGGTGTCCCAGCAGCCGGGCAGCAAAGCCCAGAGATACGGTGGAGGAAGCGGAACTGCCGGCGCTTCGTCCTTACAGGGCTGCCCCAGGGGATGCTGCTCCTGGAACTCCTCCCAGCCTGCCGGGAGAGGCACAAACTGAGAAGGGGAACCACGGAACCGACCCCTTCCCGCGGCGCTTCCCGCAGCCCCGCGCTCACCGCCGGCCGCGCCGGTGCCGGTGCCCAGCAGGCGCCGCAGCCGCCGCTCCTGCCTCAGCCGCACGTCGCTGTCCAGAGCCTCCAGCCGCCGCCGGTACCGGGCCCCGACGCGGCGCACCGCGGAATGGATTAAACGGTGCCGTAATGCGGGGACAGCCATGGCCACAGCCACGACCACGGCCACGGCCACCAGCGCCACCAGCATCGCGGAACGCGGGCACCGCCCCGGGCACGGACCGGCCCCGGGCCCCCCTCACCCACGCCGGCTATTCCGCCTCCGGCAGAAATGACGGAGATTTATCGCGCCCGGCGCCGCCCCCCTCCCCGCTTCAGTTTTATTTTCATTTTCACCTTTACACAGCACACCCCGGGCCCCCCGCCCGGCGGGGAATTCAACCGCAACTGAACACCCAGTACCAGCGCCCTCTACCCCTCCAGCAAGAGCAAGCTCCTTCTTTGGAAAAACAGAACTATTGATCCGGTTTATTTTGCTTTTTGCCCAGCCCACCCCTGATCCTCAGGGCAGCCCCCCCGGATCCGCCCAGCTTGTGCCAACGGAGCCCGACGACCCTGCCCTCGGAGACAGGAATCCCAAACACTGGGCCCAGCCCCAGCATTCATCTGGTGCACCCAAGATGAGGAGCTCCCCAGAGGGACCCACCTCTGTCCCAAGACACACGTGGCACCCAGAGCTTTTGTGTTACAAAAATATTCCGTGCTTTATTTACTCTGTGATAGAAAAATAACATGGCCAGGACCCCAGAGTTTCCCGCCCAGGCGAGGGCAGAAGCAGCGGGCAGAGGGCTCCGCTCCCCCAAACCCCCTGCCCACCCCACTGCCCTCGCTGGGTGCCCTCGCACCCTGCCACCCTCACGCTGCACCGGCTCTGGAGGGGACACCGAGGCCGGGAGCCGGAGGAGCTCCTGCATCCTTGGGGGCAGAGGAGAGGATGAGGTGCAGGGACCCTGCCGCTGTGGAGCAGAGCACCAGCACGGGCCGGGGGAGCCCTGGCAGAACCCTTCCTCTGCCCTCTGCCCTCACGCAGCCCTGGGCACGGAGCCGCGGGGAGAACAAGAAGGCGACATGTACATTCTTAGTGACGACTGCGAAAGCGAACCTGAGGCCGGGCTGGGAGCCCCCAGCAGCCCCACGGGGGGGGTCAGGGGCTGCAGGGCCAGTGCTGGCAGAAGCGGAAAGCCGAAGCTGGGCCTCTTAAAAGGAACATACAGGAAAACCATGCGACAAATCCGCTGCCGTTTATACAAGGGCATAAACACCAAAGAGCTGGACGCCAGCCTGTGTTTTGGGGCAGCACAGAGCAAATCCTGGGGGCAGGGCCCACCCGCTGTCCCCTGGCACAGAGACACGAACACAGCACAGTCCCCGCAGCGCCGGGGCCAGGGGCAAGGGAGCAGGCGCCTGCCTGTCACGACTGGGCGTGGGGGATCCACTGACTGTCCACGGGGCGCCGCAGCAGCTCCTCCACGTGCCTCGCCACATCCATCGTGTCTTCCAGGTCAAAATCACCCTCGGGGTCCAGCACAGGGTCGGGGCTGTGGGAGGCAGGCGGTGAGGGGAGGAGCAGCTGCAGCAGTGCAGGGGTAGGGGTGTGGTACTCACTTCTGGGTGTACATGTTGTAATGAGGCTGGGAGCAGACGGCAGGCGAGGGGGCCTGGTCCATGTAGGTGGCCCCTCCAGGGGCAGAATCTCCTGATGCATTGACAAACCTGTGGGGAAGGGTCTCATGAGCACTGGGTGCCCTGTGGGTGAGGTCACCAAGATCTCTCAGAAGGATCAGCACCAATGTGGCCATTGGTGGTGGCTCTGAGCTCCTCAGTGCCCTGGGGTGCCACCCAACCCAGCCAATTCAATGCTGGGAACCCATGGCAACCACTGCCCAGGATCTCCCTTCGGGGTCAAACTTACTCTGGCACCACTTGCTTGATCTGTGGCTTCACATATCCATCCACAGCTTTAGCTAGAGAGAAGGAAGCAGCACTGAGGCCCCAAACTCCAGCACATGCCACGACCCCAGGCAGTGCTGGGGGCTCACACGTGGCCAGATGCAGAACCCCTGTGGGGCCGGGGGAGGCTGAGAGCACCAGCTCCATCCTGGCTGGATGCACAAAAGAGGGGACACATGAGGGGTGGAGGGACAGCGCTACCTGGCGTGGACTCACAGAGAACCGGCGTGTAGTACTTGGAGAACACCTCGTCCTTGGGCCGGTCGGGGAACACGTAGTTGAGGTAACTGAGATCCCCGAGGCGGTCAGCCAAGGAGCGGATGGAGAAGTCCCTGGTGGTGAAAGGCATCAGGTTCCAGAACATCCTCTCAGCTGCAAGAGAAGTGTGAGGATCATGGTGAATCCCGGAGTTTGCAGCAGCTCCTGGCTGTGCTCTGGACGTGGGCTGCGAGGTCACACCAAGCAGCAAGCAGCATGTCCCACACTGCATCCCTCCCCCAGAAACAGTTGAGGATAGAGCACAGGTCGCCAGAAAATGGGATAAGAAAGGAAACACAGCGAAGCCAAGGCAGGTCTGGCCTCATCCTGATACGTTCCCCAGCCATGGGGCTCTCTGGTGCTTCTCAGTTATGTGGCCCTCCAAAGGACACTCTTGTGAACAGCAACAGACTCCTGCATGGGGTCAGGCCACTCCTGACAACCCCTGCACTGGGGAGCACCACCGAGTAACTGGATTTTGTACAGCCCACATCATTCCCCAGGGCTGGGTTGGAGGGTTCAGCCTGGGCCCTCCTCCCTGCTGCTGCCAGCATTAGGGCCTGACACAGCCACGGCTGCAGTGAGCGAGGGCAGCACCACTCCCCATGGCACAGCCAAGGCATCCTGAGGGCTCTGGCGCTCGCCTCTTTCCTGAGGATAACTCCAGCCTGCCTGCTGTGGCAGTGCCAGTGCCCCAAGGGCATGAGGTGGCCTGGCTGGGATCCAGGGATGCCAGAGCCTGGCACACACTCACAGGAGTCGAACTTCCAGGCAATGGTGATGCCACCGATCTCCGAGTCGCTGAAGCGCAGGAGGAAGGTCCCGTCGGGCTTGTTGATGAGCAGGTCGTGCGCCTGCTGCTTGTTGACGAAGCCCAGGATGGCCCTAGGCAGAGTAGGGCGTCAGGGCTTGGGGCTCGGGCCAGGCTGCACAGGGCAGGGCGGCTCTTACCCGTCATTCCAGTGCGGCTTCAAATGCTTCTTCAGCACCTCCATGACCCCGTCAAACCACTGCCAGAAGGTGTAATTCCTCCCAGGCAGGTTTTCCTGTTGAAATCTCCAAATAATGAGCACTCCTGTCAGCAGCATCTGAGCCACTGTTACACAGCACAGACATTGGGCGCAGCAGCAGAGACTCAGGGTGAGGTACAACCCCATCCAGCCCCACAAACATGAGCACTGGGGGGCTCTGGGCAGAGCCCAGGCCACTTACCCGGTTGAACTGGGACCAGGACACTGTGGTGCTGCTATAGTCCTCCAAGTGGGAGCTGGTGCTGTTGAAGAGCTTTTGTGCCAGGAACACCAGGTTCTCCTTGGTCAGCCCACGGCTGCTCTGCACCTCTGCCTTGAACTTCATGTTGAGCGCCTCGCAGAGCTGTGGCCACTGCACCTTGTCGGGCACAGCGAAGGGCACGCGGCCCTGGGGGCAGAGAGCATGGTCAGCTCTGCCTGATGTCCCACCAGGAGGCTGAGCCCTACTCCCACACTGGGCAGATGGGGCCTGTCCTGCCCCCATGGCACTGGCACTCACGGGCTCAGCAAAGGCATTGTCCCAAAGCACGGTGGCCGTGGCATTGTTGTCCTGGCTCCCATGCACAATCACCACCACAGGCAGGGACAGCGTCTGCCGAGAGGAAGGAGACCGGAATGGGCTGTGGGGCACCAAGGGAGCATCACCCACGGGCACCCATGTGGCCCCAGCCCAGCCCCACTCCTGTGGGCACAGTGCCCATGGCCTGTCTAGGCCCTGCAGAAGGGACATGGTGGCTTTACCTTCACCTGGAAGACCAGCTCGTTCCCACCGACACTGAACTGCGACTCAAAGAGGATGGTGAATTTCTCCTCTGTCACTGACTCAGCCCCGCGGCGATCCGAGCGCTTGATCCGCTTCAGGGACTGCAGGGACACCAGGGGTGAGCATAGAGGAACAGATGGGGACACAGGGGGACACAAGGGAACAGGGGCACTCACCATGTTGCGGAAGTGGGCGCTGAGTGTCCCAGTGGCCTGGTGATACTCCATCACACAGCAGTTGTTGAGGATCTCCCCGCTGCTCTCACTGCCACAGGAATGCACTCAGAGTCAGGGCACACCAGGACTGGGAGCTGTGCAAATGCAGCCCTTCCCCCTGCTCCCCACTGCCTTGGCACCCCAGCCACACACCCCCAGCCCCTGGCATTACTTGCGGGTGCTCTCGTTCTTCAGCAGGGCCTTGGCTTGCTGCTCACTGATGATGGTGGCCTTCACTTGGGGGGGGTTCATGTGCACATTCAGCTTGCCACCCACCAGGAGCCTCACAGTGGCTGCAAACTTGGTCTGTGTCTTCAGCACTTGGGGGGGCTGCTTCTCGATGATGAAGGTGCTGGGGGGGGCGAGGGAATCAGGGGGGCTGGAAAGGGGGGCAGGGCCAACCTGGCCCCCCACCCAGCTGGGCCCAACTTGTACCTGGTGACCAGGGCAGAGATGATGTCAGTGATGGTTCCGTTCAGCTCTGACAGCATCTCCTCCACTGGGCCTGGGATTGGCAGCTGCTGGCACAGGTGCTCAGCTCGGCGGATCTGCTGCCGGTTCTGCCAGATGATCTCTGCCAGCTTCTCACACCTGGGGGGAGCAGGGCTCAGCACCCACTGGGCTCAGCACCCCATCCCATCCCACCCCACCAGGCACTCACCAGGTCTGCAGCACATCCAAAGTGCCTTCGGGTGGGCCCCCATTCCCTGCCAGCTGCTGCCGACGCTTCCACTGGATCAGCTCGTCATCCAGGATGGTTGTTTGCTGCTTGCGCAGCAGCTGCAGCGTCTTCTGGTGCTTCTCAGCCAGGTCCTGCGAGGTGGGAACAACATCAGGGCTGCAGGGACAGTGTCACAGGGCATCATGGGGACAGCATCACGGGGAACCAGGCGGCATCACTCACCACACGGAACTGCTGTAGTGTCTGGGCCTCACGGTGCAGCCAGGCCTCCAGCGACGCCTTCTTCTGCTGCAGCGTCGTCTCCCGTGACATGCGCTCCTGGGGGCCCAGCTGGGAGAGCTGGGAGAACTGGGCTAGGGGACAGGGCATGGTGTTAGGGCTGGCCCTGCCAGCACCCCAGGCCCATGCCCCTCGGCCCCCCCACTCACCTTGGAGTCGCATGTTCTCCTGGTACTGGATGATGAAGTATTCCTGTGTCTGCTGCAGCTTTTTGAGCTCATTCTCCGAGTCCTGAGTGATGAGCCGCAGCTCCTCGAAGGTCTGGTTGATCTGCAGGTGCTTCTGGGACATGGCGTCCACCAGGGAGCCAGATGGGGAAGGGCTCTGCACGGGGCACAGGGTGCGCTCAGCACAGTGTGGGAACCCTCCCTATTCCTGCCTCAGAGCTGCTCCCATCATCATGGAGAAGAGCCCCTGAGCATCCCCCCAGCCTCTCCCTCTCCTCACCCCTCCCAGGCCACACTCACATTGTTTGCCTCCCGCACCAGCCGCTGCTCGTGGTAGAGGATGTGCCGGATGCAGCGCACCAGCTCCATGGGGCACCGGTCATACGTGTTCTGTGGGGAGAGCACTGCCTGAGCCAGGCACAGGGCAGGGACCCCCCTGGCCCTGCACCCCTGCTCACAGCCCCCCACTCGCCTGCAGCTGCGTGGCGTAGTGCCCCAGCTTGATCTTCAGCAGGAAGCCGTCCTCACCCACTTGGTGGTCTGCCTTCTTCTGCAGCTCCTGGATCAGCCCCTCCAGAAGCTGGGTTGCTTTCACATTCTCCTGGGGGTTGTCAAGGTCGATGGAGTCCCTTTGTGTGGATCAGAGGGGTGTCAGGGCACCTGTACCCTAGGGGGCAGCCACAGCACCCCCAGGGAAGGGCACACCCTGACCTACCATGCCTGGCTCTCAATCCACTGTGACAGGTAATGCCGCACCTCGATGGGGAAGTGCTGCCCATAGAGCGCCTGCATCTGCCGCAGGGCTTCGCCCTGGAGCTGCTGGGCCTGGATCCACACCGCCATGGTTCAGCACCTGTGGGGAGACACGCTGTCAGGGCACCAGCAGGAGACAGGCAGGCACTGTGCTGCAAGAGGTCTGGCCCTGGCTGTCCCCACACCCTCTGCAGGAGTGCCCGAGTCCCTGTGGTGCCAGCCCTGTCTCCAGCTGCTGAAAGAAAGGGCGTGCGGGGGCAGTGGACCCCGGCTCTGAGTCACCCCCTCTTTTCTAGGAACAGCCCTGGGGGTGCCCAGGGCCAGGGACGTGCCTCTGCATGGCCTCTCCACATGGTTCTCATTTCCCCTCAGTGCACCACGGGATCGCAGCCATCGCTGGCCACGCGAATGAGGAAACAGGCCAGGGGGAGGGAGGGCTGCCCAGAAATCCAGGGTGACGCAGAGCAGAGGCCCCCCCCTGCATCCACCCCGCTCCTGCCCACACCCTGGCAGCGCCAGCAGGCAGGAGCAGCCCCAGCCCCATGAGCCCACGTGGCACCACAGTCCCTGACGAGTCCCTTGTGTGCCCCAAGTCCTGGTGGAGACACACAGACCTTCCCAAAGCAGTTTTGGGGCAGCTCTGGCTCCATGCAGGGATTGCAACCACTACACAGCCTTGGTTCCCCCAGGGGCAGGCAGGGATAAGATGGTGGTGACAGCACCTCTGCTAAAATCCAGTGTGTCCCCTGGGTCACCTGTGGCTAGAGGGGGCTGGAGAAAAAGCCTGCAGCTGATGGTGTGAGGATGATGTGACAGCGAGTGACACAGGAGGGTCGAGGGGGCTCAAGGCCCCCCCTGAGTGAGGAGGCAGCAGTACAGTAAACAGCATTTAGATACACTCACACTCTATCCACCTGGGATTTGGCACCACACAGAGGGGCCAGGCAGGGGCACAAGGCCTTGGATGTGTCCCAAGGCCGGGTGACCAGGCCAGAACCTGATCACTGCACTGGCTGGTGACAAGCAGAGGGGCTGAGCCAGTGGGGGCTGTGCTTCCCCCTCTCCCCGAAGCATTTTGTTCAGCCTCAGAAATACCCAGTGGGTCACAGGGCTCCAAAAGAGCTGGTGCTGTCACACAGTGAGGGGCACATGCTGGGGGACAGTGGCAGCAGGTCCGAGTGGAGCAGCCACAGCCAGAGCCCCCGAGCCACGCACACCCGCCCCTGAACAGGAAGAGGAACAATAACCCAGAGCTGGCTAAAAATGAATTTTTCCTCTATAAAAAGGGAGGAACATTTCCACATTCACAGAAATCACCAAGCTGGAAATGCTGCTGGCAAGGAGGGGCCTGGGGAGGCAGAAGAACGCCAGCAAGGAGGAAAGGGAAGGTGGGATGGCTGACAGCAGGACATGCTGCTGTTGGAAATTGTGGACGTTTGATAAGGGGCAGAGCCAAGAACAGCCACGCCAGTGCCGCTGCACCACAAAGTGACCGAAGTCCCCAGCACTGTGGGGACATCTGCACGGACACAGAGCAAACAGACACTGCCCTGCCTGTTGATAAAATGGTGATCTCTTCCCATCTCACAGTGACAAAACACTTCCTACTCCACTCTAGCATGTTGTTAAGCAACGAGTCTCTGGCTGCTCTGTGGTGAGCTGGCAGGCACTGCATTTGGCCAGTGCCAGCCTGGCAGCAGGAGCACCAGCACCATATCTGCTTCTACAAGGGGCTGTGCAGTGGCTGACAGTGGCAGAGCTCACCTGGTGTGTGCCCCAAAACACCATTTGCACCAGGCTTGAGCACAACCTCCACAGACACTGTCAGTGCAGCAGGACATGCAATTTCTCCTGGGGGAAATTTGCCTCATTTTTGTCTCACCTGGGGGACAAACCAAACCTCCCCATGGGCTGCAGGGTACCTTGACCACCCCAGTACAAGCAACCAGTGCCACCTGCCACGGGCAGACTTTTGGCCCTGAGACTCAGCATGGCTGTGGCAGCAACTCTGTTTCAGCACAAGCTGCAGCACCATGGTGCCACCGTGATCCCTTGCCAGGCAGCCCTGCCTCCTCCATCACCTTCCAGCATCACACTCCTCGGTGACACCACCAGCTGCCCGAGGGATGGGAGCCCAGGGACAGATCCAGCCCCACGTCCAGGGACATTCACCCACCCCAGAGCCACCTCCAGCCCCAAGCACTGCCATGGGTGAGCCACGCACGGCAGCCACCGGCCCCATGCGCACTCCAGCAACTGCAAGAGGCAGATAATTGTAGTGGTTTAGGCTACTTTGCATTTACTCGCTGGCAGCGAGCTGGAACCCACCCGCCACTGCAGCTCGGTTAACCAGCAGCACTCAACAAGCCACAGCGACGTGCTCACCAGACTGATTGCCTGTGAAGGGGCACAGGCAGCAGCTTCCCTGGTAGGACCACTGCTGAGGAGAGACCCCAGAGCTGTGGGGAGGGACCCCAGCAACACAGGGACCGAGCAGAGAGAGGGGAACCAGCAGACACCATTTCTGCCTCTTACAGCCTCACTGCCCACTGCTGATGGGGAAGCACTGCGAAACCCAATGCAAAACAGGAGAAACCCACCCAAAAAGGGCACTCAGAAGGCCAGAGGCAGTAGTGAGGAGAGGGGAAGATGGGAAAGGTGGCAGCTCTGCTGGGGCTGAGGGCAACCAAGGGACTGACATGACCACACTGGGAAAGGGTCACAGGCACAGTGGCAGTAGGCACCAGCAAGTCCCAAGCTGCAGGAGAGCCAGAGCACATCCGTGGGCACACAAAAGGAGGGAAATGCCTCACAGGATGAGGACGGCAGCAGCAGCTTCCCATGTGCACGGCAAAACCCAAACACAAGCAGCAGCTAGCCCGGAGCACGCTCTGCACGGGATGCTCACTGCAATCTGCCGCGGGACGCTCCTGCACAGAGCCAGCCCAAAGACCTCCTCATGAGCAGGACATCCCTGCCCCGGCGCTGGCACAGCCCCCGACAGCAGCCCCTTGCCCAGAGCCATGCCTGAAGGGCCAGGCAGGGGTGAAAGGCTAAGGCAAAGGCCTGGGGGGGACCCCTGTGCTCTGGCTGTACCCCCCACCGCCCCACTCCCTCGACCCACGCAGTCCCTCGGCTCCCGCACTGCCCTTGGCCCGGCGCTCCGGCAGCCCGGGGGTCTCCGGAGCGGTGTCTTCGCGGGGCTGGGCTCCGACGGCAGCGGCCCTGCCCCGCTGCGCCTCCCGCCGCAGTAAACACGGACACGTGGTTTCTCGGCACCTCCGGGAACCCGCGATCGCTTCCAGGTCAGAGCCGGCCCCGCTTGTGGCCGCAGGGCCGGACCCTGCGCCCTGCGCCGGTGCGGCCGAGGGGCTCCGGTGCTGCCGCAGCCAGCGCTGCCGCTGCCCCCGGCGGGAAGCTGTCCCGCAGCCCTCCGAGCTGGGCGGCTCCAAGCAAGATTCCTCCAGGACAAGATCCGGCCCCCAGACGGGCCCCGGGCGCGGTGGAGATGACAGTCGGGAGCGGCCGCCAGGCAGAGCAGAGCGGAGGGCTCCGGTTACCCACACACACACATAGAGCCACCCCTCCGCCCTCAGCGGCCCCCCGGCCGCTCCAGCTCCCCCAGGGCCGCGCTGGAGCCGGTGGGGAGTGCCCGGTGCTACAGCCGCACTCACCGCCCCCACACCCCGCTGGAGTCCGGTGTGGAGAGCCCGCTCTGCAGCCTCACTCACCGCGCTCAGGCCCCGCTGGAGCCGGTGTGGAGAGCCCGGTGCTGCAGCCGCCCTCAGGCCCCGCTGTGCCCCCGCTCCGCCCTGGCGTCCGGCCCCAGGACAGCCGGGCTCCGGCTCGGGGCGGGCACAGCCGGGCTCCCGGGCGGCCGTTTCGCTGGCTGCGCACTACAGGAAGGAGCAGAGAGCAGCTATTTCCTTCCAAAATGTCAGGTGCCTCCGCGGGACAGCCTGCCCCCGAGTGCTGGCAGCCACCCGGCACACTGTGCCCCTCACAGCGCCCCGGGGCCGGAGCAGGCACAGCCGCTGTCCTGGGCAGGCACTGAGCCCCTGTGGCTGGCTGAGAGCCAGGGATGGGACCCCAGGAGTTTGGCATGGGGGGAGATGGGACCCCCTGACCTGCACTCCCCGGCTTTGCTCACATCCCCCAGCCCACGGCCCTGGAGCTGAGCCTGCAGCGGGAGTGATGGTGAGCAGCCCCCAGCCCTGCTCAGAGCTGTGGTATCAGCACATTGCGGAGCGAGAACAGGGGGCCAAGGGCTGCTCGCATGCTTTCCACCAGCCTGTGGTTTCCAGCTCTGGCTGGGAGGAGGCAGTGCCCACCGGCATGGGAGCCAGCTCCTTCTAGAAGCTCCGTGCTTTGATGGGGTTTGTTTGTCTCACACAGAAAGTGGCAGCAACTGATGGCTTCACCCCGGTGAGGAGGCAGCCGAACCATTCAGCCCACACTGGAAACATCTGTACTATGACACTCATGAAAGAGGCACGGCTGGCTCTGGTAATCCAACGTGCCCCCTAAGAGCAGAGGTGACATGCCCCACAGCAGCAGAGCAGGTAGGCAGAGGTGGAACTAGCAGCACCAGGACTGTCCAGGTGCCCCAGCAACTCTGAGAGCCGAAAGCAGAGAATTCACACCGTGAATTCATCACCTGATGCTGCCCAGAGGGGACACCAGCCCCACACAGGCAGAGATGCCCCAGCTGGGACTGGTGCCAGGGGCATCAGTGCTGGGGGCTGCCAACAGCTCATCTCACACCACAGGCCAGGCTCTCTGCCTGCCAGCACTTGCCACCCTTGGGAAAAGTTTCCTCCTCACTCAGATTTCTTCCAATCAGAGAGGCCCAGAAACCTGCGTCAAACCAAAACCACCAAAATACCCAGCAAAATCCCTTGAATCCAACGGCTGGAACCTCAAGAAAACCTCAGTGCACCAAGAGCCACCCTGCGGCAGCCACAGCCAGGTACAGGCACTGCTTGGGCACCAGTGGGATTCCCTCAGACACTGAGCCTGCAGCAGGACCAGCACTGGTGGGCAGGACACAGGGTGCAGCCACATCAGCAGAGCCCAGTGCCCAACCAGCCCCATGGGCACGAGTCCAGTGTGGCCTCTGCAGGACATCCAGTGGGGAGCCCAGTCCCTGCCAGCACTGGTGCTGCCCCCACCATAAACCCCCAGACAGGATTAGAGAGGCTGGGCAGAGCTTTAATTACTCCTGGCTCCCTGGGGCCAAGCAGCTGAGTTAACCAGCTTTGGGGCTGGCACAGCAGGGAGTTGCCAGCTCAGAGTTCTGGAGCTTCCCCTGCCTTGGTGGGGGAATCCCAGGGCGGGCACAAAGCCACTGACCACCTGCAGCATCCCAGGCTCTGGCCTTGCCCAGGCAGGGATGTGCAGCTGCCCCGTGCCAGGATGCTCAAGGAAGGGATTTTCCCTCCATGCTAATAATGCCCAACCCCAAATCCCTGTAATGCCACGCTGAGGACACAGCCCTGGGGTCCCACGGGTTCTGTGGCAGCCTCCTGCACCGAGGCCAAATCCATCCCAGCCCCTGGCTCGGTGCTAATCCCTGCTCAGACCTGTGCCAGCCCAGGAGGGATAGGCTGGGTGAAGGACTTGAGGATTAAGCTCATTTCAGCATCGAATTAGTCCCGATTGGGGTCTGGAGACACGATTTCATTTTCTCTGCCATGCTCCAGCGAGCGCACACAATGGCACTAATCCACCCACAGCCAGACTGGATTTGCTGGGCAGGACCCAGGTGGGCTGGGGGAGATGTGGGCAGCACAGGCACTGCTCTGACTGCATCCATCCCCTCGGGTTGATGCCATGCTCCAGTTCCCCTTGGGGCTGGGGACATGATGCTGGAGCCTCCTCACCCCTGGCATGGCTGTCCTGGGCTAGCCCAGCTGGCACAGCACAGGTTTTTGGATGTGTGGTGAGCAGGGAGAGCCAGAGGGACCAGAGCAGCTCCTGCATCCACCCACTGCATTCCCAGAGTTCATCCCCAGCAGCTCTACACACAGAGATGCTCTTGCACCAAGTCAGCGGAGCAGGATGGAGAGGAGTAAAGCCTTGCCTTTGGAAGAGGGGATACACAGACATCCAGGGATGCTGGCAGGAGGGGGGACTAGTCAGACAGAGAATAAAACAACCAACACCGGTGGTTTGTGAAACAAAGTCCTCAGTCAAATCGAGAGAGGGGTGAAGCTCAACATGGATTCATACACACACAAATATGTCCACGTGGGTTTTGGCTTTCCTGGCCCTGGGATGGGCTTTCCAGCCCCTGAAGCAGCAGCACAGCCCCTGCCCCTGAGCTGCACCATAAGCCTCACACAGCATCTCCACAAGCAGGGCCAGAGAAGCTGCACCCCTGGGCCCACAGCCCAACAGCACCAGGGTCGGGTATTCACACCAGAGAGGACAAAGATCATTTTACAGCATTTCCAGCTGGTGCAGGAGCTCAGAACTGCCAGCAAGAGCAGCTCTTCCTCTGCTAAAGGGTTTGCAGAGCCTTTGAGTGATAGAGGCAGACAGAATGAGCACCCAGCACATGGTGGATAGGACTGGGTCACTGCTCTGCTCTCTAAGGCAGTGCTCTCCAGCACCAGCCTTTTCCCCAGTTCCCTCCCCGGCAGAGCTGTGCTATAAACCAGCTCATAACACAAAGTTACACTGAAAGTGGAGATTGCAAAACTCACCAGTGACTGTTTGAACCGGGAATGGGCCGTGACTGTGCTGTGGTTCAGCTATGCTGCTGTGGCTGTCCCAGCTCGGCCGCACATCATTCCTGATACCGCGGGAAGCAGGACCCAGCACTCAGGGAAGCGCTGAGTGCCTGCGAGCAGCCCGTGCTCCTGGCCCCTCTGGTGCAGCCAGATGGGTGGATTCTGCTTTATCAGCAAGTCAGCTCAGCCCTATCGGCCAGGAAGCCGTGTTCACAGAGTGCCTCCCCCTCGACGTTTCCCAACGCGGCGGGAGCAGCGGCGTGCAGCAGCCTACCTTTTATCAGCCAGCAGATGTTGCTAGAACTGTTGCTGCATGTGAAATTCAGGCATGCCCAGCACCACTTGGATCCCTGCACCAGCCATGCGGTGCCAGGGTAAACACCCCCGCCCCCTTCCTCCCGGGATCAAAACACTTGGGGGTTGCAAAATAGACACCCCATGAAAGGAAAGGCATGCCACAGAAACATTACAGCTGTCGAGGCTACTTGTGCCGGAGCGTGCCGGAGCCCCGGAGCCAGCACAGCCTCCCAGGCTGGAGCTGCCTGCATGGCTGCAGAGCTGAGTCCTGACAAGGTGGGGACTCTAATCCTGATCCTAACCCTAACCCTAGCCATGCCCTGGCTTCCCTGCAGTGGCTGCTTCCAGCTCAGCACTCACAGTGTTGGGGACACTGCAGCCGGGCAGGCAGAGGGATGATGCCACCAGCACAGGTACCCAGGGGATGCTGATGCCAGGGAGGTCCCATTCACCCTGCCTGCCATCCCACTGGCATCCCAGGGCTGCTGTGGAGCCTGTTGAGTGTGACCCACCTTACAGTCATTCTTGCAAACTACAAAGTAATTTCCCAGCCGACAGGGCTGCTGTATTCGGCCCAAAGCAGTCGCCACTCGCCGCCCACGATGTCGCAGACTGCAGGGAGCAGGGATTTTTTGCAAGCAGGGTATCTGAGTTTTGCTATCACTTGAGAGAGAGCTGGGAAACCCCATGGCAAAGCCTTCGCCGTCACTTTGGAGTCAGCACTTCCCCTGCAGCGAGAGGGGAAGGTCCCTCCAGAGGCTCTGTGTGCCCTGTGCTGAGCATCCCCAACTGCAGCGCCCTGAATGGTGAGAGCATCCCTGACCCTGCCCCAAAGCACTGGCCTTGGCACAAGGCAGGTGCAGCAGACCCAGTGAGGTGACTCTAGTGACAACTGTAGGGACCCAAGAGACCCAAGTGCCACAAAACACAGAGTGGGTGACAGCCACCTGTCACACCCTGCTCCCAGCACAGCCCTCCCAGCACACAGGCTGTTGGCACCTCTCAGCCCACACCAGAGCTCCTCCTCCTCCTCATGATGCACCCACAGCACAGCTGGGCACAACACAGCAGGGCACAACAGAACAGGGCACAGCATAGCCCTCTCCAGCCCCGCTCACGTTCATGAGCGTGAACAGTTCTAAAACCCAGAGAGTCTCCATCTTCACATCCTCAGAACCACATCAGGTCAGGCCACAATCCTGATGGCTTCACGAGCACAAAGACCTGGGCCAGGAGTCGGGACCTGGAGGGAGAGCTCCCACCATGGAGAGCTGGATCCTGGTGCCCATGGCAGTGGTGAGGCTCTGTGGAGCACCTCATTGTGCCTGCACTGGTGCCCCTCGCATGCCACATGGGGCTCACACTGCTCTGGGCACGGGCACGAGCACTGCAGGGACCCGCAGGCAGCCAGCAGAGAGCCAGCCCCCAGCCAGGAATGTCCTGCTCTAACCAAGGGCCCCGCACCCCAGGGACATCGTGTGCCATGCCCCTGCCAGGGCAAACCACGCGGAGCTACCCTGAGCCCAGCGCTGTCTCCCCAGGCACTGTCACCAAACCGCTGCCGGTGACCGGCCCGGTGCCACAGGGTGCCCAGCACGGAGAACTGACCGAGCCAACAGCCCCGGCCCATCGGTCCGAGCCGAGCACGGGAGCCCCGGAGCCGCTGGGCAGGAGCTGCCCGGGGCCGGCCTGGCACGGGCCGGGGCTGGCCGGGCACGGAGCCCTGACAGCTCCGTAACCCGCCGGACAGGTGGCCGCGGCTCCCGCGGGCTGCCCGGCCCCGGCCGCGCCCGAGCTGGGTGAAAGGCCACCGGGCGCTGCGGTCCCCGCGGTGCCGCCGGGGAACGATCCCACCCGCCCCGCGTGTGCCACCGACAGCAGCGGGGCTCGCACTCCCGCCGTCCCGGTTCGGAGCGCTGCCTGCGGCGGGACCCCCCCGGCACCGCACGGGACGCCTCGCGCTGCCCCGGATCCTCCCCTCGGCCCGGGACCGGCACTCGGAGCCGCCCTCCGGGGCCGCCGCTCCGGCGGGGCCCGCGTGCGAGAAGCGGCCCGGCTCCGGCGGGCCAGGAGCGCCCCCGCCCCGGGATGCGCCGCGGCAGCAGGACGGGCCCGGGACGTGCCCGCCGCCCCCTCGGAGCGGCCCCACTGTCGCCTCCGCCCGCCCAGGGGCCCGCGGGCCCAGCCGGGCTCCCGCCGAGCTCCGCGCCCGGCCCCGCTGCGCCCGCCCGGGGTTACGAAACACCCACAGCGCGGACCGGACCGGACCGGACCGGACCGGAACGCCCCGGCCCCGCCGCACCCCGCCCGGCCCTGCTGCGGAAGGCGGACGGGGTCCGGGTCCGGGCCCGCTCGGCTCGGTCCGGTTCGGTCCCGGCGGCGCTGACGGCTCCGCGCTCCCGCCCTTGCCCACCTGCGGCCGCGGCGGCGGCTGCGGCTCCGCTGCTCCCGCGGCTCCCGGCGGCTCCCGGCGCTCGGCTCCGCCGCCGCTCTGCCCCCGCCGCGCCCCGGCCCGGCCCGCGCGGCCCCGCCCCCCCGCGGCCCCGCCCCCGCCGGACCCCGCCAGCACCGGGAACGGCACCGGGTAACGGGAGCGGTACCGGGAACTGAGCAACAGCACCGGGTAATAATGGCACTGAGTGACGGCACTGGGCACCGGGTAACAGTGCCGGTACCGGGCACGGGGGAATGGCATCGGGCAGTGGCACTGGGTGACGGTACCGGGCACAGGTTAACGCCACCAGCACGAGGTAATGGCACAGGGTGTCAGAAGTGAGTAGTGGCTCTAGCACTAGAATTCAAAACAACTTCAGGCTTCAACACCAGCAGCTCTGGCAGGACACAAACCAGCACCAGAATTTGGCAGTAAGTACCAGGGGAGCCCAAAGCAGCACCAAGCCTTGGTTCGGGGAGCAGGAGTGACCAAGTCAGTACCAGGTGGCCACAGACGTGGCTGCAGGGCTGCCTTGTGCTGACACCGGGCCCTCTGTGTTGGTGCTCGTTCCCACCACAGGCCTGAGCTGACATTTTGCAGCCACATGCATGGCCAAGATCCCCAGTGCTGCCACAGCCTCAGGCACCTGCCGGGACAGGACGCTGCATCCCCTTCTCCCAAGCTGCCACATCCCCTGAGAGCTGTGAGGACACCCCAAGGCACCGCCAGCTCCTCTGCAGTTGCTCAAACAGGGAAAGTTAACAGCGGCCATAAGAAAACCATCCTGAGGAGCTCCTGCACAGCTGGCATGCACGGCAGACTCCTGGTGGCAGCGCTGGCACCCCAGGCAGGGGTACCCCGGTGACGGGCAGCCCGGGGTGCGGCTGCCGTGCGGTGATGGGCAGAGGCGGCGGCAGGAAGCAATACTGGGTGTGCTTGTTCTGCCCCAGCGCCTGCACCCACCGCATGGGATCTCCTGGGCTTTCACTTTCGCTACCAGCTCACGTAAGATAGACAGAATTATGTTTTCTGTGGCGTGAAAAAACTCCGGAGGGAAATTCAGCAAACGCAGGTCCCTCTCTTGGGTAGGAGCAGGGGTGACCCTTCCCTTCCCTTCCCTGGTGGGAATCAGGGAGGAGGGACTCGTCTCTCCTCGTGCCAGCGCTGGAACAGGATCTGTTTCAGACAGCTGGTGCACCAGCAACTGCAAATCACTCGGCCACTGTGTCAGAGCACAGCCCCAAGTTCCACCTCTCCACTGCTTTTGTGCTCTTGTGCTAAAGTCCTGCAGCTCCAGCTCGGGCTCCTCACTGCCTCATCCAGCTCCACACTTGCAAGAGGTAAATAAATACCTGTGGGCTGGGCAGGCACCAGCCCAGCACCTGCTCCATGCAAACAGCAGCCACAAAACGGTGCTTTCCAACTTGCCAGCCCCACTCTGTGCCTGGAGCAGCCTTGGGGAATGACTGAATGAGTGACTCCAGCCCCAACAGCCCCCAGCTCCCACCAGATGTTTTGCTGCCTGTGCTCACCAGCTTGGGAGAATCTCACACACAAAGGCTGACACATCGCTGCTGAGCTGCTGCCAGCAGAGCCCTGGCTGCACTTCCCAGTGCTCCTCTCACTCCAGACCTCACAGAGAGGTGAGCTGGGACCCTGGCAAGCAGGGACAGGCAGCCAGCAGCTCCCACGCCGTCTGTATTCAATGAGACACAAGAAAAGCAGTGGAGTGGGCAGCGCAGGGCCCTGGTGCCTGCCCACCCTGCTTGGCCGGGACGCTCTTGTTCTGCTGAGTTGCATCATGGACATGCAGCTTTCACAATCCCTGGCCCACATAACCCTTTGGAGCAGCCGGGCGGGCACTGGCTGCTCAGGCCAGAGAATCAAGGTCACACACAGTGTCTGTGCCTGCTGGGGCTCCGTCTGGGCACCACAGATCCAGGGGTAGCTGGAGGATCCCAGGGACACAGCGCTCCCTGCACAGCTCCACGTGCTTGGGAGAGCTGGGAGATGAACACAAAACACCCTCTCATTTCCCTCCTCTTTCTGCTAGGAAAGGAGGAAAAAAGGAAAAATAAATTAGTGTTGGGAGAGAAAAGTGGAGAGCGCCCCTCGCTGAGAGGGCAAATGGAATCCAATAAAATCCAATCCAATCCAATCACAATTTGTTTTCACCGGGTCCCAAGGAAAACTCCGAGCTGGCTGGTGGGGATGTTACCAGGAAAAATTCTTCCTTTCCAGAGGAAAAGAACAGAGGAGCAGTGACTGCAGCAGCGACCGATGGAGAGGCTGCCCTGGAGCTGCCCCAGCTCCACCCCAGCGATTCCCCGAAGCGATCTCAGCTCTGCCCGGCTCCCTTTGTGCCTCAGAGAGTCTCGGAAGGCTCCGGGAAGGTGAGCACGATCCGGGCCGAGCCGCAGCCGGACGCACGGGCACCTCGCATGAGCTCAGCAGGATGCCGAATGACGCCGCGCATTCCGGGGACGGAGCGAGTCTGGAGCTCCGTAATGGATTTCCGAGAAAATTGCCTCTGTGTTTGGAGCGGGAGAGCAAAGAGTGCAGGCGGAACGGCCTTTCTCTCTAAGTGGCATCTCAAGGGTCTTAATTATTTCTCAGGAGTGGAAACATTTATTTAGGCGGCTCTGGAGAGGCCCTGACGCTTTTGGCCACTGCTCTCCGGGCACATCCTGTATGCGAGGCCCCTCTGCAATGCTCCCGGGATGTGCAGGGGGCTTGGGCAAAGCACAAACACCCAAGCACGTCACCTGCGGGCAGGACACGGCCTCGCTCCATCCCCTCCTGCTTACCGGGAACCGGGAGCTCTCACGGGGGAGCCCAGCCCCATCCCATCCCTGCCCCGCATCCCTCACACTCCCAGGCCTCAAAACAAAACCCCGTTGTGATCATGCAGCCCAGCTAATGCGAAACAGATGAATCCCCACATTAGTCACAGATTCACATTTTCCCACAGAGGTCCCACTGGAGAGCCAGCGTGGATGGGCCCTGCGGGGTTCCAGCCCTGCTGCTGGTGCAGGAGGCAGCCTGGGAGGAGTGAGGGGGACAGGGCAGCAGCACAGACCCTGCCAGAACCCGGCCACCCGTGGGCAGGGCACAGTGGGGGCACCAGAGATGCTTGGAGATGTTTGTCACTGGCACAGGCTAAGCCTGGTTGGTAGTGCCCAGTGCCAGCAGGAGGGGATGACCTGCTCCGGCAAAAAAAAAAGCGGAAATGACATTTTGTCCAAGGGGGAATTTCCACAGGAAACCTCTGCCTCCAGCCACTCGGATAGGGCTGGGAACAACTCAGCAAACACTCGGCCTCAGCAGCCAAGCAGTGCCATTGCTTAGGCAAAGACTCCATAGCTCCTCCTGCTAGGAAAGAACCTCCAGTTTCTGGAACAGCCAGGAGAGTGAGAGCTCGCCTGGGTCTGCAGAGGGCACCAGAACCCCCCATCAGCCCAGTGAGTATCTCTGCACCTGAGGGGGCACGGGGGGCACCCACAGCCCAGCTGGCACCAAGGGCACAATCCTCTCCTGCCCACCCCAGTGCCAGGGCTGGCTGGGGGCATCAGGAGTGAACACACCAGGGCTGCACTTGGCCCCTACCCCACACTGGAGCATCCTTGCACATCCCTATGTTTATCTGTCCTCTCCCTGCATCCCTGCACATCCCCGTGCATCTCTGTCCTCTCCCTGCCCATCTCCATGCATCCCTGTACATTCCCATGCATCCCTGTCCTCTCCCTGCATCCCTGCACATCCGTGTCCTCTCCCTGCACACCCCCATGCATCCCTGTCCTCTCCCTGCATCCCTACACACCCCCATGCATCCCTGTCCTCTCCCTGCATCCCTGCACATCCGTGTCCTCTCCCTGCACACCCCCATGCATCCCTGTCCTCTCCCTGCATCCCTGTCCTCTCCCTGCATCCCTGCTCTCCCTTGCAGAGCTCAGGTTGCCACAGTAACCACTCAGTCCCAGCTGCTCCAACCACCAACGTGCTGCCACAGGTCAGCCCAGTGCAGCTGCTGCACCAGGGCCAGGGCCCTTCACCCCATGGCAGGGTGAGCAGAGCCCCTGGTGATGGTGCCACCACTGCACTGTGAGCCAGGATGGGACACCTGTAGGGAGACAGGCAGGTTGTGTCCTCCTAGAATGGCTGGAGGTGGTGTTTTTGGTGATCACACTGTGCTGCAGCTCTGGGTCTGACCTCTGCCACATGTGGCAGTGGAAGGCACCGCTGCTTGGCTCTGCTCTGCTGTGTATTTATCTGAGTGTGATGCAATATTTATTTGGCTGTTGTGTTCTGAGCACTGGAAGCAGGGATTTGGGGTGGCTCTTGGCTTGGCCAGCAGCGCCATGTGCTCTGCAGCTCAGCACGTGTTGCTGTGGGAAGATCCCACCCAGCACCTGGGAGGGCAGAGGGGACCCTCAGGCTGGTCCTGGGGGTCTTTGCCTCCCACCCCTCACTGCAGCCCTGCTCATTCAGCTGCAGATAAACTGTGGCCTCTCTAATCCCTGTCTGCTGCCTTATTCCCAAGGACTGTCAATACCGCACAGCTCAGACACCCCAAATACCAGTGGGACCCTGCCCGAGCCCCTGCTCTGGAGTGCCCCTGGCCCAGGGCTGCCCTGGCAGGTGGCTGCCCATCCCCACAGGGCTGCCCTGTGCCCGTCACGCATCCCAAGCGGATTATCTGCATTTGGAAACCCCTAATCCGTTTGCACGCTTGGCTCAGACACTGTCCCCACTCCTCCCCACTGTGCTGCGGGCCCGGACAAGGAGCAAAGCCACCCTGTGACCTCCTTTTGGAGCCACAAACAACCTCCTGGCCCAGCACAGGCAGAAAGCAAGGGCTGCAGGGCTGACTGGGGCAGGAGGAGGGGGACAGGATGTTGGCAAGCATCCCTTGCCCCAGTTGCTGCTGGTGCTGCAGGGGTTCCTCCAAACCAGCTCTGGGCACTTTCTCCTGCTGCCCATCAGCTCCAGGAGCTCCCAGCCTGCTGCCCCCCTCAGCACTGACAGCAGAAACTCTTAGGTGGGAGCTTGACCCCATCACTCAGGGCTGGGGCAGGTGCCAAGAGGGATGCAGTGGGGCCAGGGAGATGAGGAACCCCTCCCTGATCTGCAGGAATAGGGAATCAAACACCACGTTCCTGACACCACATGGTTGTGGTAACCCCAGGGGTTGCAGATGGAAAATTCCCTAGTCCTGGGTTCTCAATCCCATCCTGCAGCAGCCAGAGGGGAGCTGGTACCTGGCAGTGCAGGAGAAGGGGGTCTGGGCCTCATTCCTTTGGGAGCTGCCCCCCACCTGCAGCACCCTGGGCTGCACCAGAGACAGGCAATGATCCAACACAGCTGCCTTGAGAGCAGGGATGGGTTTGTGGGGCCTGGGCAGAGCCCTGGCTTGGTTTGACAGTGAAATGCCGTGGGGCTGGTTCCCAAAGCAGGGACATGGTCAGCTCAGCCCTGAGCACGATGCTCCAGGGCACACAGAGGGCAGAGAAGGCTCCAGTGCACCTCCAGCACCTCAAACGATGCAGCACAGCCAGTTCCACATGACCTGCATGAACAATCCCCCTAATCCTGCTCTGACAGAGAAATAATCTCTCCCTCTTGGCCTCATCAGAGCACAACCCCTGGAATGATCCCGTTCATGGTTCCTCTCCTCACATCCACGTGGTATTGCAGAGTGCTGGGGTGGGCTCCAGCAGGGCTGTGTGTGCAAAGCGTGTCACTGCCACCAGCCCATGCTCCCAGCCTCACACACCCATCCAGCTGTGCCTGGCACCCCCTGCCCATCACCCCCCAGGGCAGAAGCACTCACAGGGCCCCAGTGCAGCCCCAGGCTGAGAGCAGCCAGAGTAGGGCCCCAGCACAGCCGTGTCCTCCCACGCTGGCACCGGCATTTCCTTTACAAACTGCAGGAGACCCAGGCACAGCTCTGGGGCACAGAAAGCAACCACGGGCTGGGGCAGGCCCGCTGCCCCCTGGCTGCCCTGGGAAGGGCCCCACAGCCCCGGGAAGGGGCAGCTGCCCACGCCTGCCGGGCAGGAGCCGGGGCCGCTCGCGCCGCACAAACCGCAGCGGCGGCACCGGGGCCGGGCTGCGCCGAAGGAGGCCCCAGTTCCCGGAGCAGGGTCAGGTGGGTGCCGCAGGCAGAGCCCGGCTCACACCCCACAGCACGTCGTTTCAGGGCCTTTATTTCGGAGAAAGTTCAAGCCTGTAGATACAGCAATAAAATATACAAAAAAATAAAATTTTTTTACAGTATCGAATGCTGCCGGGGGGGACTGCGGCAGGAGGCGGTGAGCGAGCAGAGGGGCAAAGGGCCCTCACTGCCCTTGAGCAGCCCCAGGGGCAGCCACAAACCCCCTTCCTGCTCTCACACAGCCTGGAGGGGCTTGCCCAGACCCTCGGGGACCCTCCCCCTGCCCTCTGGTTCCCTGCCACCAGCTGTGATGCAACTCAGAGGGAGCAGCTCTGCCACTGCCTCTCCCACCCCTCCACTGCTCATCCGTGTCTGTTTGCCCACTGCATGGAAAGGGCAGGAGGGCTCCCCCAGTTCTGTTAAATGCAGGACCAACCCCCCAAAAGTCAGGACACTGCCTTTCACAACACCCCTGTCACTGTCCTCCACTGCCCCACAGCAGGTTCCTCTCCTCACATCCATCTGCTCCCTTCAATTCTTGACCCTTCCCACCTTAACTGTGAGGGCCAACCTCCAACAGAAGTGCCACATGAAGCCCCCAAGAAGCTGCAGACCCCATGCCTGGCCCCTCACAACCCAGAGAGAAAGGCACACGCCAGGTGCCCCACTGTCAGCCATGCTGGCTCCCTCAATTCCCCAGGGTCCAACTGGTCTAACTCGGCACAGGGCTGGATGCAAGACTGTGCTCCCAGCACCAGCCTGGCCACAGGGAAGCCAGGACAGCCCCTGTGGCTTCACCCAGCTCCCAAAATGGCCCACAGTTGCAGATGCTGGTCACACACAGGTGCCATTTCTGGGTAGCAGCACTGCCCTACCCCAGGGACACCAGCCATCCCAAAAACAGCCCGGGCTGCTGGCACTGGCCAGGTCACTGTGCCCAAAGCAGGAAGCTGGGGACAAGCACAAGCAGCTCCTGAACCTCTAGGCTCCCAGCAAACCCAGGCTGAGTCCAGCAGGGGCAGTGCCTGCTGAGCCCAGGGTGGGAGCACCTGGATACGTCCACCTGCAGCTCTGAGCCCTGTCCTGGTCATCCTGGCCAAAACCAGGTGGGTGCAGAGAGCGGACTCACCCCAACACCCTGCAAGCTCTAGGAGGGGCTGGGAGCAGCAGGGCAGACCCTGCCACATGGCCAAGCCCCTCTGCAATTCCAAATTTGTGAGTGGGCACAGTCAGGGCAGCAGCTTCCAGCAGCGGGACCGGGGCTGTGGAAGCGTTTGTAGGAACTGTGGCCGCAATCGGAGGCAAATAGGCACTTGAATGAGCAAACATAATAGAAAACTGTTATGGAAGGAAATAGAAAAAGGTTCATCCCCCTCCCCCAGAGATGAGCTGCACCACCCCAGAGAGGGGCTGGGTAAGGTGAGGACCTGACCCATGCAGGGCCCCCAGCAGTTCCTGGAGCAGCTGCAGCCGAGTGGGACAAATCCAGGGGAGGCTCTGGAGGTGGGAAGGCTGAGCCGCAGCCCCTCACATGGGCGAGGACGCGCACTCTGGGGTCAGCTCCATGTCGAAGGTCAGCGACTCTGCGGGCACACACAGGCAGGGTTACGGGGCCCTGGGCGTGGGCTGGCAGCCAGGGCCCCCTGGAGCCCCCCCAGACTCACCAAACTGCCCCCCTGCGTTGCTCTCCGCGCCCTCGCCGCCGGTGCCGAACTGCATGAGCGAGTCCAGCGTGCGCGGGGACATGGGCAGGTCGATGGTGTTGCTGAAGGAGGTGCTGTCCCAGGGAGAAGAAGCACGGAAAGCTCCACATCAGGGCCTGGCCAGAGCTCTCCAACACCCCCTGTACCCGCTGAGGGGCCCCCAGAGCTCTCCAGAGGAAAGGGGCCCCGGAGGGGAAGAACGGGGCTGTGGTTTGGGCAGCAGCCGGAGCCTGGCTCAGCCCCCACCGTCACCCCAGGCTGGGAACCCCACAGGAACCAAGCAAAGCTCAGACAGAGGTGGAAAGAAAGGAAGGAAACCTCTCCCTCAAGCAAGGCTGAGCACACAAACACCCCCCAAGCAGTGATAGACAACTCCCAGGAACACTCACGGGGTGACACAGATGAACTTGGTCTTCAGGTATGGAGCAGCACCTGCAAGGAGGGAGAAGCTTCATCAGCAGCCACCCAAGGACAAATGCTTCTCTCTATCCCCTAGAACAAGCAGTGCCCACCCTCTGCCCCATGGCTGGTCCCACACTGTGGCTGTGTCCTCCAGGGATGGCACAGGGTCCCGGTTGGTGACAGCCAGTGCTGTCCCCAGAGCTTCCCTGTGACAAAGGAGCCACAGAAAGTCAACGACTACCTGAGTCCGTGGCTTCCGAGTGCTCCTGGCTCTCAGAGCGGCAGTACTTCCCAAATGCCTCCTCCTTGGGGATGTCTGGGTACAGGTACACCAGAGGGGACACCAGGATGTTGGTGGCATCCATGATCTTGTAGCCCATGATGATCTCAGCAAAGGACATGTTGTTCAGCTGCTGCTTGGTGTAAGGCTCCACCGACTGGATCTGTGTCTTCCCTGTGCAAGGAAGGAGAATTTTGGCACAGAACAAAGGCAGGGCTGCCTTCAGACACCCCCAGAGCAGCAGGGACAAGATGGGCCTGGGGCACACAGCAGAGCACAGGGCAGGACTGGCACCTGACTGTGTTCAGTGCCATAGAACACTGTGCCCATGGGCATAGACACCCAGAAGGCAAAGACCAGCAAAGGGCAGCCAGGCTCAGGAGTTAACCCACACAGACAGCTTGTTGGGACAAGGACAAATGCTTATCAGGGCACCCAAGCCCCCTCTGGAAGCTGGAATGCCAAGCCAGGCACCCAGATAGAGGTCATACCACTGATGTCCTTCTCCACCCAGGTGAAGGTGATGCCACCCTCCTTGCTGCTCTCACTGAAGCGCAGCAGGAAGGTCCCTGGGGGCTTGGTGCTCAGGATGGCTCGCTCCCGCTCCTTGCTGATGAAGCCCATGATGTACCTGGGCAGGAGGATCCAAGAACAACAAATGGGGGTTAGGGCACAGGAGCAGCTCCTCCAGGATGTAAGTCCTGCCAGCTCTGCTCAACAGCACAACTCAGCCTGGCCACTGACATTTTATGGGTTTCCAGGTGAGTTTTCACCCCAAAACAGCAAAAAGTATCCCAGGACAGCACACCTGGGACATGGACAAGCACCCCACGCCATCAGGGTGGAACCTGGGACCCTTCCAAGGGCCAGCCTAACCTCAGGCTCTGGGCTGGCACTCACCCTTCGTTCCACAGTGCCAGGATGTACTTCTTCACCAAGTCAATGATGTTGTCCAGCCAGACCCAGAAAGAGAAGCCTTTGCCAGCCATGTTCTCCTGGGGAAAAGGTAAGAGAGGCTGCTAGCACAGCTTGGAGAAAGGGAACAGCCAAGGGAAGGTGCTCAGGGAATAGAATAAATTCTACCTTGCAGAACTTGGCCCAGGTGATCTGACAGCCAGAGTAATTCACACCTGGTCCTGGAAGAGAAAAAAAAGAACACAACCATTTAAATAGAGCTGTCCTTCCAAAGACACCATTTCCAGGGTTTGGGAGAAAACCAAGCACCTGCAAATGACTCAGGCCAAAAGCCCTCAGGCCAAACACAGGAGCTCACTCTTGGATGACATGTACAGGTGGGGAACCACACCAGGGGACAGAGGGATGGGCAGGACACCCTGGCACATCAGCCCTCTCTTACCCAGCAGTTTCTCTGCCAGCGTGGTGAGCTGCTCGATGCTGAGCCCGCGCTTGGTGGTGGAGGAGAACTGCCAGCTCAGCACCTCTGCCACCTGGTCCCAGGTGCCAATGGGGGGCTTGGTGAAGAAGTTCACGTTCTGCACGAGGGAACACACAGCCCTGAGTGGCACATGGGACAGGAGCAGGGCAGGCACTGCCTCAGCTCTGCTCTCCAGCCTCAGTTTCCCTCTCTCACTGTGACAGCCCCATCCTGACACCTGCCCTGCTGCCCTACCTTGGGGTTGTTGGTCAGCATGTTGTACCACAGGATGGATGCCCAGGCGTTGGGCATCTGGCAGATGTTGGAGATGACCACCACAGGCAGTGAGTGGGTCTGCAAAGAGAGGATGTGACCATGGGCTGGGACAACTCCCAGGGCTCCACCCAGGCCCATGGTGGTGAAGGCAGTGACCCAAGCCTCACCTCCAGGTCGATCTTCAGCCCCTGGTGATACACCTCTGTCTCAAAAGTGATGAGGTGCAGCTCCTCAGTGACTATCAGCGAGGCCTGGGGCAGAAGGGGACACCATGAGCACCACAAAATACCCACCCTGAGCCCAACACACGACCAGCAGACCCAGCACAGCTGCTGGGGCTGGCCTGGCAAGCTGCCCACGTGCCAGTTGGTGCTGGTGGACCCCCTGCATCCCCTCCCAGCTCAGCTGCCCCTGTCAATGGGCAGGCCCCCTCCCAGGGCCCCTGACACTCACATCACAGTTGGCTCTGCCTCCATTGCCACAGCGCTGCTCCCTCAGGGTCTGCAGAGAGAGGGACAGGCTGCAGCAGCAGCACCAGGACACCTGGCTGTGCAGGAGCAGCCCAGGAGCCCATGGTACCCACCAGGTGCTTGAACTCTGCTGAGAGGCTGCCATTGTTTGACTCCTCCATGTTCATCACCTTGGTGTTGGTCCCCAGGATGTTAAACTTGCGGGACCTGGGGAGAGGAAAGAGTCAGGCTGACAGGACAGGCTTGGAGTGAATGTGTGGCAGGATGTTTGTCAGGAATAAAGCAGAAACAAGAAATAAGGACAAAGCAAACAGTACCACTTACCCACGAAGTGCTGCAACGTCCCCGGAGTCCCTGGAAAACGGGGAAGAGACCCCAGGTCATGGCAGTGATCCTCCCACCCTGGTGCAGACCCCAGGTCATGGCAGTGATCCTCCCACCCTGGTGCAGACCCCAGGTCATGGCAGTGATCCTCCCACCCTGGTGCAGACCCCAGGTCATGGCAGTGATCCTCCCACCCTGGTGCAGACCCCAGGTCATGGCAGTGATCCTCCCACCCTGGTGCAGACCCCAGGTCATGGCAGTGGCCCTCCCACCCTGGTGCAGACCCCAGGTCATGGCAGTGATCCTCCCACCCTGGTGCAGACCCCAGGTCATGGCAGTGGCCCTCCCACCCTGATGCACACAAGCTGGTGTGTGGTGCCACCTGCATCCCAGCACAGTCCCATGACCACACAGGCCTTCCCCCCAACCATGTGGGTGAACCCTCAGGACTCAGCACCACCCTGCACCCTCCTCTTTAACTGGGGGCCACACTGGCCCTCGTTGTGGAGATTGAGCCCAATCCAGGGGCAGCAGGAATCAGTCCCATCCCAGTTACCCCACCCAGGGCCACTGGAAGGGCAGCACAGGACTCACTTGTCAATGCAGACTTTGATTTTCAGCTGATAGTTCAGCTCTGGGAACTTGACCAACAACCTGCAAGAGTCAGCAGACACAGAGCATGAAGATGCTGTGCACAGAAAGTGCTCCTGCTCCACAGGGCACCTGGCACAGCCAGCAGCATGGACCAGCTCCTCTGGCAGCCCTGGGCACACCTTCACACAGCCCTGGCACCTGTCCCCAGAGCCAGGGAGGTGCTGGAACTCTCCTGAGCATCCTGAGGAGCTCATTTGGGCTGCTGGCAGCCCATGCCAGGCTCTGAACAAACACCCCAGAGGACAGAGGCTGCCATGGAGGCCCAGAGAAAGGGCAAGGAAGCTGCAGGCAGAGCCTGGGGTCAGAGCATGGCAGGGAACACGGCCCAGGCTGAGCAGCAGCTGGCCAGGGATGTGCTGCTGCTTCCCACCCCCACAACAGGATTTACCAGAACCCAGCAGATCCCCAGCCAGCCCTGCACTGAGTCATGTGGGCAGCACTCCAGCCCTCTGGGATCATCCTTCTGGGATCCATCCCTTTCCATCACAGGGGCTGCACCTGCAGCAGCATCTTCAGAGAGCCACCCCAGGCTGCCCTCCCTGCTCAGCTCCCCTCCCTCACCTGCAGGGAGGCACCCACCTGACTTTGGTGGTGAACTGCACACCTGTCTTGATGACCAGGGGCCTGTCAGGGTGCATGGGCATGCAGGGCTGCCTCTCCACCACAAAAGCACTGCAGGAACAGCACAGAGACCACGGTCAGACCTCACTGCCCACCCTCCACACGCAGCCATGCAGCTCCTGGCTGCCTGCAGCACCTTTTCATCAGGTTCCTGAACAGCTCCACGATGCGCTCCTCCAGCATGGGCCGGTGCTGCACGATTGGGTCACCCTTGTAGGACACTTTTTGCTGCAGTTCTTCCAACTTCTTGATCTGCTGCCGGGTCTGTAGCTGTGATTCAGCGAGGGAGGTTATCCTGGGGGAGCAGGGAGAACCAGCATTAGCTCTGGGTGCCCAGCCCATGCTGTCCAGCCTGCAGAGCCCTCCTCTTCCCATGCAGGAACACACTCTCCATGCCAAGCCAGTCAAGAACCGAGTGTGTCTGTGGCTCCAAGCCCAAAGCAGTTTTCTAGGCCATGCATTACAAACAAAACCTGCACATGCCCAGGTGACTACAGGGCCATAAACTTTCCAGCAGCCTCAGAATCCCCCAGGCATGGAGCTGGGGACAGTGGGACACCTTTCCACCACTGTGCCCACCATCATGGCTCAGTCTAAGCTGCAGGCTACATTCACACAGGCAACCATCAGAAATGTCCACTTTGCAAGGACATTTCCAGAGAGCAAGAGCTCATTTCCACAGCAGGTGTCTGAGTGCCAGGGCTCTGGGCACTGACACAGTCCCAGGCAGCTCTCACCAGTTCTCAAGCCTGTCCAGGCAGATATTGGGTGGGCCACCAATGCAGGCAATCTGCTGTCTCCTCTTCCAGTCTGCCAGTTCCTCATCTGCCAGCATCTTCTGCACATACTCCATGGCTGAGAGCAGCCCAGCCAGCTCACTCACTATGCCCTGCCAGGAGAGAAAGCAGAACCTGCAGCAAGCTGTGACTTCCCCCACAGAGCCACAAGTTTCACATTCACAGGCAAGGAAGAAGTCACCCAGGGCTGTGCTTGCTGCACTGCTCCTGGTTCTGGCCATGCAGGAGCTACCAAATTCTAACCCTGAAGAAGGGAGATCTGCACCTAATTGTACAAACTGCAAACAGGATGGAATTGCTGAGGAACGTGCTTTGAGCTGTTTTATTTTTTAGCATCAGTCTCACTACATGGTTATGACAATGGGAAGATGCCATCAGCTCACATTCCAGACAGCAGACAAAGAACTTAATGTTACAACTTTAAAAGTTTTTTGACCAATCCCACAAAGAAAAGCACATTGACAGTAGTTCTATCCAACCACTATAAGCACACATAACTTTGGTTAAAACAATGCTTGCTTCTTTCAAATACAATACCTGCTTGTAAGCCCAAAACCCTCTGATTTTACAGATTCCCACATGCACCCAGAGGAATCTGGAGGGTCAGTCTTCCCTCTTACCCTGCGCATCTGGTCCAGTGCTGTCAGCATTTGCTCCAGCTGCTGCATCTTCTGCCTGGTCACTGACTGGTTGTTCCCGTTCAGGTCCTGCATGTCTGTGCAGAGGTGAGAAGCTTCAGCCACACTCTTCACACTTCCTCAAGTGCCACAACGACACAACACTTGCACAGCAAAGTGCAGGCACCCTAGAGCCAAGCAGGAATCTGGCACAGCACCACCGTGGCTCTCCTGCACGCACAGAGGCCAATCCCTCCCCACCCCAGTGCTGTGCTTACAGCAAAGCTCAGTTCAGCTCCCTCAAGGGCAGACCAGGTTTATCCAATTGCCATGCAAATGCCCTGAGAATGAGCACATTCCCTCTGGGAGTGGAGGTTGGAACACCTCTCCAGCAAGTTTCCTTGCAGGAACACACTGTGGTTTGCAGATGCTAATGAGCTGTCATTACCTCCTTGGCTTTTCAAAGTCTTGTAGTTAAAATCAAAGTCATCCTGGAGATTTTCCACCACTTTCATCTTCTGCTCCAGATCCTGGAAGGCAAGAAATGTGATTTCACTCACAGCACTGAGAATTGTGGTGGGGAGAGCTGAAGGTGCCCAGGCAGACACATACCTGCACCCTCTTCCTGACATCCTGCAGGTGCTGCTCCAGCATCTGCTGCTTCTCTGTCACCACAGCTGCTGTGGGATGTGTTGCCTGTCCCCCTTGCTGCAGAGGGGACAAGAAGGGGATAAGGACAGGGCTGTAAGCTGGGGGTGCTCCCTTCCAGCCTGAGGAGGCTCTGCAGGGTCCTCAGCTGGCTGCTCACTTCAGCACCAGCTCCAGAGCAGCAGAGGAGAGGAGAGATGGAGACACCCAGCCAGAACACCCAGGCTGTGTCCTGGCTGTCAGGAACCAGGATGGCCAGGACCAGGAGGCCCTGGGATAGCTGACCACTGACCTGGGCTGCAGTAGCAGCTGTCTGGAGGAGCCGGGACTCTTCCCAGAGGCAGCGAGCCACGATGCGGGCGATCTCCATTGGCTTCTCCAGGTATCTGCTCTGTAAAGGGTCCAACAGGGTCAGCAGGCACATCCTGAACCCCTAGGATCTCCACAACAGGGCTGTGGATGGGGAGCTGTGCCAAGGAATCGCTCAGACCCTCACCAGCTCCCCCACTGTTGGAACTCAGCACATCCCCCTGGCTCTCCTGGATTGCCCAAACCCCTGCCAGGGGGCTCAGAGACCTTGGCACAGAGCCCAAGACACCTGTGACTTTGATTATGACCCCTGGAAAAAATTACCAGCCTTATATGAGGATCTGCAAGCCACAGAAGTCTAAGTAGAATAACATTTAGTTTGTCATGGGGTGAAAAATAGATTTTTTGGGGTTTTTAGAATGGGGGTTCAGGAGGAATCTCAGCATGTCCTGCCTTTCTCCTTCTTCTTCTTGGCCTCCATCTTCTGCTGTGATAGTGGCACTTTTGGATTGGTTTAGAGTAGAAGCTCAGTGTCTGACATAGGTGATAGGTATTGGAAAGTTATGGTAAATATTGTACACGTAGTTTTTAGTATAAAAATATAACACCAGTTATCTTTTTATACTAAAAGATAGTATAAAAATTTTCTTTATATAAGAAGGCTACAACCTTCTTATACTATAAAGATAGAATTTTATAGATAAGAAAATCATATACTTTCTCTGGCCTGCCGAGTTCCTTCAGCCTCTGTCTGACCTGCTGAACAGACCTCAGCAGGGCAGAGAAAGAATTTTATAGATAAGATACAATAAACAACCTTGAGAATGAGAATAGAAGAGTTCTGACTCCTTCTTCAGGGAGTCTGCTGGGTGGGAAAAGAGACTTTAACACATCTGGGGGTCACTGTGAGCAGCAGAAACCCCGAGACCCCACCATGCTGGCAGCTCACCTGCAGGAACTGCTTGATGCGGCGCAGGTTGTGCTGGTAGAGGACGTTGGACTCCTGCAGGAAGCGGCTGTACTGCTGGTCAATCTCCCCCAGCAGGTTGTGGAACACCAGCGTGGCATGAGACTCCTTGCTGGCAGCATAGGCCCTGTGCAGGGGAGAGAGAGCTCTGAGTGCCTGGCATGGGGCAAGGGGCAAAGCTGGGGGCTCTGCTCACACCCAGCACCCCCTGTGCAAATTACAGAATCTCTGAATCATCTAGGAAGGAAAAGAACTCTTAAGATGGAGCCCAGCTGGTGACTAATCACCATCTGGTCAAGTAGACCAGGCAGACTGTGAACACCTGATGTCTGTGAGCACATCCCACATGCTCATGGACAGGATCCAGCCACCAGTGCTCTGTGTCAGCCCCCTTTACAGCAGAGGTCAGTGTTAGCCAGCCCTGGATGGGGGCATCCCCCTGCTTCTCCTGGCCCAGGGTCTAACACAGAGCACAAAATCCCACTTCATTCCCTCGATGCCACATGAGCCCCAGAGAGAGAGGCCAGTCCCATCACCAGAGCTCCTCCAGCCCACCTGAGCCCCTGCAGGTGGGTGTTATGAGCAAAGTCCCCTCAGAAGCATTTGAAAAGTCCTCACCAGTCCTGGCTTTCAATCCAGGGGGCCAGGAACTGCCGGAGCTCCATGGGGAAGCTGTCGCTGTAGAGCTGGTGGAGCTGCTCCAGGTAGCGCGTGTCGAGCTGCTGCAGCTGGTTCCACTGCGCCATCCTGGCCAGCTCGGGAGACCTGAGGGGTGGAAACACAGCTGGCTCACAGCTGGCTCCTGCCTCCCTCCTGCCAGGACCCAGCTGTGACCCTAAAAGGGTTCTTCTCTCTGGGTAGAACCAGAGACAGCCAGGGCACGGTGCTCCAGGACAGCTGGCAGGGGCAGGCTGGCCACTGGCAACAGGTTGGAATGAGGATTAAATCTGGTCTCAAAAACACCCCTGGTTGGTCCTGCTGGGAGGCAGGGAAGTGGCTGTGGAGCTTACAGTAAGTGTGGAAGGCGGAGACTGCCAGGAAGCTACAGAAACAGGGAAGGAGCAATTTTCAAGTTCACGACTTGTATCAATGGAAATCAAGCTGACACTAATGAGGGGACTCCAGCTGTGCTGGCAAATGAAGGCACAGCTCTGCGTGACACCAGCAGTCACTTCCCTGCAGAAAGTGGTTTGCTTTTCCCAAAGGTCCCTGCGCTGAGTGATGCAGCATCACTGCGTGGCCTCCTCCCCCAAGGGACTCTTTCCTCATTTGTCTGGGTGCGAAGAAAAGAAAGTGGAAACGTCCTCTGTGGGCTGAGACACCAGGAGGGGACAGACATTGGCACTGACATGGGAGCTAAGAGGGTTTTTAGTACTTCACAGCACTGAAGAGCCCCAAAGGCAGGAGCAGGACATTAACCTTGAACTACAACCCGTTGGTGCAATCCTCAGAGAAGTCCACATGAACCAAATCTGCTATGTATGAATGGAGCAACAAGTGAACAAAAAAAGAGAGACCTGTGGCCACAGATTCCTAGAGCCCTGGAGCCAGACCTGGCTGATGTGACAGAGCTGTGATGCTGCAGCACAAGGGCTGGGCTGTGAGCCCTGACCCAGCACAGCAGAGCCCCCATTCCACAGGGGGTTCAGCCCTTTATGGCCAGTTCTCACCTGCAGCAGCTCAGGGAATGCTCCCTCTGCCCCATGCAGCTGCAGGGGCCACTCCTGCTGCACGAGTGATGCTGCTGCAGGGTGGGAAAGCCACCAAAAGCCCGGGGCTGAGCGGGAGCCCACCAGCCCCGCAGGGATTGCCCCGCCTGGCCGGTGAGCTCAGCGCCCGCCTCCTATTGCGCCATGCCCGGGGCGGGGGGGCTGCACCAGCCCCTCCGGAAACAGCAGCGGCTGCTGCCCCAGCGCAGCTCCTGCCACAGCCCCGCTCCCAGCCCTGAGCAGCACAGGGCTGCGGCAGCACGGCACAGGGGGCAGCTGGGCAGCGGTGCCAAGCGGCTCACAGGCGGAGCTGCTGCAGAAACACAACCAGGTGCCACATCCGGACCCATGGTCCACCTGAAAGGCACAATCTCGGCATTTCAGAGCAGCACCAAAGCTCCCAGGCTGCCACAGGGCAGCAGCACTTGGACGGGACTCAGCCACTTCCCAGTGCCACAAAGAGCTGCAGGGCAAGGCAGCTTGCAGCACTGAACTCCAGCTCCTCCTGGCATCCACCCAAGGCACTCTGACATTCCTGGAGGAAAAGGTCCTTAAGACATTCCTTGCAGCAGCAGCCACCACTCTCAAGGAAGCTCTGATCCTGGCAGCCCTGGGATCCCACACAGGAGCCTCTGCCTGGTCAGCCCCACCAAAGGGAAGCCACGGTTAAAAATCTGAGGGTTGAACCTTTCTGATTCTGCTGGGCTTGCCCATCTCTGTGGTTTGCCTCTCCTCCATTGCTGGAATGGAGCCAGAGAGCAGCCAGCATGGCCAGGACCAACACAGCATGATGCAAGCTCATGGGTAAACACGTTGTCCAGAGCTCAGAGCAGAGCTGCTAAAAGTAGATCAAGAGCTAAAGTTCATATTTCTTTATCTTCCTGCAAGGGCAGAGCACAAGAGTCAGGCCCAGCTGCACAGTGTCACCCCTCTGGGACAGCTCTGCACACTCCAACCACCCCACTGAAAATGAGGCTGCCATGGAAGAGCCCTGTATCTGCTTTCTGCCTTCCTTTTCATCTCTGGGACACACCTGGGAACACCCTGCACATGTGTCCCTACAACAAGCAATGAGCCCTAGGGCAACATGAATGGGGGAGTCACTGGAAACAGCCTCAGAAGGACCCCAGGACTCCACGTCCCCTGCAGTGACAGAGTAGGATGGAGCTCAGTCACTGACAGCACTGCACAGGCCACATCACCAGGGTGCCATGCCAGGGTCATGACAGATGCCACCAATATCACTTCACAGAGTTCTGCAGCAGCAGCAGGCACCTTGCTGCCCCCTCTTCCACAGAACCACCAGCAGCCCGAGGGAAAACTGCTCCACACGGCAGCCAGGGCTCTGGCAGCACTTTGGAAAGGCTGCTAGTAGAACTTGGCTCTGCCTCTCTGGAGCGATTTCAAAGCCAGCCTTGGAGGTGCAAAACAGCGATGCAGAGATTTGCAACAGGAGGAGGGAGATGGCTCTGGGCAACCTCAGAGCCACAGCATGAGTTGTGATCACCCCACAGGCTGCTGTTCCTCATTGCAGCTCTCCAAGGTCCATCCCAGCTGTGAGTGACACTGTCACCATCCCCCTCAGGGCAGGGGACACACAGCTCACAGCCTTCCTGTGCTCCAGCACTTCTGCTCCATCTCCAAGGTCCCTCCCAGCTGCGAGTGACACTGTCACCATCCCCCTCAGGGCAGGGGACACGCAGGGCACCCCTCCTGTGCTCCAGCAGCTCCAACAGATGGAGCACACTGGGGGAGTGACAGTGACAGGGATCACCGGCAGGGTGGGAGCGGGGTCTGCCCCCGATGTGCGCTCAGGGTGAGCCCAGGCCAGCCCACCCTCCCATCCCGTCTGTCTGTCCCACGGCCCGGGGGACAGCAGCCACCCAGACCCGGGCAGCAGGAGCGGTGACAGCACTGCCAGCCCCGCAGAGCTCCCGGGGGCTCGTTCACCCGAGCTGCAGAAGGCGGCTGCTGTGACACCGGCACCCACGGGGCTGCCACCGAGGCGAGCCCCGCTCCGGGCGGGAGGCCCCGAGCCGCACGCGGCGTGTGACAGCCCTGAGCTCGCAGCCCCGCCGGCTTCTCCAGCCCCGCTGTGCCCGGGTCCCCTTTGGGCTCCCAGTCCCGTTCCGCACGGGACCGCCGAGGCCGTGCCAGCCCCGGCCGCACCGGGCGGGCCGCCCCTCCCCCGGCCCTGCCGCTCCCGCCGCTTCTCGCACTCCGAGCAGCCGCTTCGGGCTCTGTCCCCGTGCGCGGTGCCAGCCCGGAAGATCCGCCCGGGCCGCACAGACCGGCCCCGCTCCGCACCGCGGCTCGGCCTGCAGTGATGGGAGCCGGGACAGGCCCCCCCCGCGCTACCCCGCGATGCCGGCCCCGCTCCCGCCCCGGCCCCACACCGGCTCGGGGTACACCGGCTGCCGGCGGCGAGCAGCGCCCGCGCACCCCCCGCGCTCACCGGCGGTCCCGGCGGGCGGGGCGGCGGCTCCCGGTGACGGCGGCGATCGCGTCCGGCTGCGCCGAGGGACCGGACCTCCTGCGGCCCGGCCCCGCCCCTTCGTGACGTCATCCTCCCCACTGCCAATGGCGACTCGGTGCTCCTGCGGCCCCGCCCCGGCAGGCCTCCGACAGCCAATCAGCGTGGCCGTTGTGTGGTGCGTCACGGCGCGCGGAGAGGGGGCTGCCCCCCCGGCTATTCCCGGATGGCACCGCCTCCCGCCGCAGGGCTTCGCTAGGCAGAGGCGGTGCAGGGGGCCGGGGGGGGGCGGCTGCCGGGAACAGCCGTGCGGGAAACCCAGCTGAGTTCCGGGCAGCGCCGTGACGTCACGCGGTCGCCGCCGCCGCCGCCGCAGCCTCTTAAAGGGGCCGCGCCTCGCCGGGCGGGCCCGTGCGCCGTGCTGGGAGCAGCGCCCCCGCGTGGGGAAAGGGGGATCGGCCCTGTGGGGCTGAGGGGTTTGATCCTATAGGACTGGGGAGATCGATCCTATAGAACTGTGGGGATCGGTCCCTGTGGGGCTGTGGGGATGGATCCCTGTGGGGCTGTGGGGATCAATCCCTGTGGGGCTGTGGGGATCGGTCCTATAGGACTGGGAGGATCAGCTCTAGGACTGTGGGGATCGATCCCCTTGAAGCTCTGGGGATGGATCCCTGTGGGGCTCTGCATGTCGGCTCCTGCAGCAGGGTTGTGGGGATCAGCCCCTGTGTGGCTGTGGGGATGGATCCCTGTGGGGATGGATCCCTGTGGAGCTGTGGGGATGGATCCCTGTGGACCTCTGACTGTCAGCCCCATACAGCAGGGCTGTGGGGATGGATCCCTGTGGGGCTCAGCGTGTCAGCCCCCACTGCAGCGCTGTGGGGATCAGCCCCTGTGTGGCTATGAGGATGGAACCTGTGAGGCTGTGGGGATGGATCCCTGTGGGGCTCAGCGTGTCAGCCCCCACTGCAGCGCTGTGGGGATCAGCCCCTCCCCAACACCCGATGCCACGGACAGGCCTCACACTGGTGGTTTACAAAAGAGACTTTATTGTTGCGCTGCTGCCTGGGCACAGCCAGGGACAGGCGAGGATCACCCGAGGGCTTCTGCCGCCCTGGCCCCGCAGCTCAGAGAAAACCCGCGTGGAAAAACGGCCTGTGGGCCCGCAGGAGATTCTGTGAGGGCAGCTGTGGGCTCACACGGGGCTGGGAAGCACCAGCAGCCGAGAGCCGGTGCCCGGTGCCTCCCACACCGGGAGCCTCGGGGCCGCCGGTGTCTCATCAGGGCTGCCTGCAGCCGGCACACGGAACCGACCGCTCCCACCTCCTGTGGGGAGGGAAGCTGGGGCAGAACCCCGCGGCTGGGACAGCACTGCTTGAAGGAAAATAATTCTTTAAAAGTAAAGCAAGTTTATATATTGGGTTATGTGAGCAGCAGCAGCCTCGTGCTGGGGGAGCAGGATGGGGAATGCGAGGCTGGGGCTTGCAGCGGGGCTGAGTATGTAAGAGGCAAGCTGGGCTGAGCCAGGCAGAGCCCCCGAGGCACCCTGTGCTGCCCTCCTGCTGCCTCACCCAGGGCCTGGAGTGAAGCTGAGGAAAGCAGGACACAGGGAGGAAGGCACAGGACGTGGACATGGGCATGAGCCTGAGCTGTGCCAGGACACCTGCAGAAAGCAGATGCTCAGAAATGCTCCAGGTCCGGTGCTGGGCAGGTGTCAAGGCCTCTTTCCGATGGTCTAGAGCCTCCCATTGCAGCAGTGCATCCCAAATCCCTCTGGAAACAAGTCCCTAGCTGTGGTGGCTGCTCCAGCATCGCTGCCTGGGTGTCCCCCTCTCCCAGGGCAGCAAGCGTGGGCCCCACTGCCTGCTGCCAGCACCTCTGTGGGTGTGGAGGGAGCAGATCCAGCATGCTGCTGCCTGCCCTGGGACTCCTCCTGGATCTCTGGCAGATCCCTAACCTGTGTAGGAAGCCTGCAGCTTGCTCTGTTCCTGCCACAGCCCCAGGGCAGAGCGGGGAGGAGCAGTGAGCCCCAGCTGTGTGACACCCCAGCTGCAGGGCGGCTTCGTGCAAAGGCCACCCAGTCCTTGGGAGGGCAGAGAGGAGCAGCCCCACCTGCCCCAGGCCAGCTCAGCTTTGCCCCGTGCTGCCCAACGAGAGGATTTGCTCAGCTCTTCCCTCCCGTGCGCCAGCTGCATCCCAGTTCCTCTGGTCCCCCGAAGGAGCAGCCGGGTTTGGTGCTGGGAGTCTTCTTGCCTGTGGGGTGGCTGCAGAGCCTGGCATTGGGGGTAGGTGATGTGGGCTGGTGGGCTATTGCAGGAAGCTTTCTTGACACCAGGTTTTTCTTATGGAGGACTCTTGAACTTTCAGCTGTGCGGCTTCTTGGGATCAGCACTCTCCAGCTGGGTCAGGGCCCTGTCACTCAAAGCACATCTTCAGGTGTGAGGCAAGAAGGCTGCAGCAGGAATGGTCTCTGAGGGTGATTTAGTAGTGTAAGAAAAACAGTTCCGTGTTGCTAATGTTTATGTGCTAAAACTAAAATATAAAATACACCTTGTACAAAGCGGGCAGGGGATCGGCATCGGCTCTGCAGGGTAAGGAGGATGCATTGTGTACACTTCCCTGGGGCTCCAGGGCAGGGAGAGCTCGAAATGTGAGTGATATTGTGTTCGGCTGTCATCCACAGCCCTCGTGCTCTGCAGCCTGTCCTACTCGCTGTCACTCTTGTCCACCAGTACCGCGTCGGTCTCCTCCGTGATCTCCAGCAGGGTGTGCACGTCGGGGCTCTCCCCACGCATCAGGTCTGAATTTTCTCCTTCCTCTCCACCAACCTCCACCAGCTCTGTGGCTTTCACCTCCACCTCACCCTCTCTGATTTTCTTGACGTGGAAAGTGAAGGGTGGCACTTTGTAGACGGCTGTCTTGGACCTGGCGTAGATGGTGTGGTCAGGGGTGAAAGACTTCCTCAGTTTGTCCCGAGAGCTCTTCATCTTCTCCCTCCTTTCGTTAGTCACAATTTTAGTGCCCAGTTTGTTCATCCTCTTCTCCAGGTTGTGGCGGGTCTTCTCCAAGTTGTGGCGGGTCTTCTCCAGGTTTTCCTTGGTCTTTAGCTTAGTCTTTTCCATCTTCTCCTTTGAGAATGCCTTCTTGAAGTCATCCACCCTTTTCATGCCGCTCCTTTTGATGCGTTCTGCCCGCGACTCTTCGATAATCTCCTCAATCTCCACCTCCTCATCCGAGGAGAGCTGGATGTGGTCCTCCTCCGCGTGGTCCTCACCCACAGGGACCTCCTCACCCTCACCTTCCTTCTCCACCTTTTCTCCTTCCTTTAGGGACTTGCTGATGCTCAGTTTAGATGGGAGCTTCACTTCATCCTGCAAGACACAGAGCGGAGCCAGTGAGACACACAGACACCGGCAGCCCCGGAGCCAGCCCGTCCTCCCTTCCTCCCACACATCGGCCTCCACCCAGCTAAACACACCCAGGTACTCAGGCCGGGCTTATCCTCCCCCGGATCAGACTGCAGCTGATAAAGTCATTGTGAGGAGGATCTGCTTAGGAGTGTCCTGCATGTACCAGGACTCGGGCACCAGCTCTGCTCACCCTAGGCTGGCTCCAAACTCATCTGTGATGCCAGAAGTACAGGAAAGGCAGCCCAGCACTGAAACTGGAGCCTTTTCCCTTCTTCCTCTGTCTGTGTCACAGTCTTGTGCCCTCCAGTTTCATCTTTATGCTGCACCTGGCCATTACAGCCCCTCACTCCTGGCTGCAGGACAGTGCTCTTCAGGTCTCCAGCCTGGCCAGGTCCAGCAGTGACCCCAGGCACAGCCAGAGCTGAGAGTCTGGCCACAGCACCAGCATGCACACTCTCTCCTGGCTGCCCCTAGGCTGCACTCAGACTTTCCCAAGGCCTCAGGATCCAGATGTGGGGCTGGGAATCTCTTGGGATGCAGCAGGCTGCCCTGTTTTTCCTATTTCTCCACTGGGGAATAAGTTAGAGAATTTGCCCAAGTCCATATCTGGAGATAGTGGAGCCAGTGGTCCCAACTCACACAGCCGGGTCTGCAAGCAGACACAGCTTGACTTGGATTCATTCAGCTTCTCCACGAGCCTGAGCCAGCCAAGTTCCTGATCCCAGTGGCAGAGGACAAGCATGTGCCTGGGAGAGGGGCACAAGTCTGGAGTGGGATTGGTTTTCATCTGAGCAGCACATAGCAGTGATTCACCTCTCTGTTCCCAGGACAGGCTGGAAATAGCCCATCACTGTCCAGAGCCTCACAGCTGCAGGGCTGCAGCTCACGCTCGGAAATTTATTGCCCAAGCAGTCAGTTCTAATCTACAGAGCTGGGTGGGAGAGGTGGGAGCTGCCAGGACCAGCCTGTCAGGAATCCAGCAGCAGCCAAAGGGCAATGTGTGGAACGGGCACTCAGCATGCTGAGCTGCTGGATTTGCTGAGGTTTGGAGAAGAGCCTGGCCAGCAGGACAGCCAGGTGCCATCCTGAGCCCTGGGAAGGCAGAAGCAGAGCAGAGCAAGGATGGCATTCCAGCCCTGCACTGGAAATCAAGGGGCAGCCCCTGGTGCACCCCAAGTGCTTGAAGTGCATGGCAAACCCTGGAACACCAGCAGGGATTTGCCTGCCCCCGGCTTGGGGACGTGCCCAGGGTGACTTTGCTGTGGCACCTCCCATGCTCTGCATGTCACAGCAGCTGCACAAAGGTGCCAAGAGCCAGGACAGGGGAATGGCCATTCCCCAGGCATGAGGAGGGGTGTTCCTGGTGCTGTTGTGGGACAGAACATCCTGGTCCCTGCTCAGAGCAGGAAGGGATGGGGTGTGTGCACACCCTCACCCTGAGCACTGTCCCTGTGCACACCACTGCCCTGCCTCACCAGGGTCACTGCCACTCTGTGCCTCTAGCCTGAGCTCCTGGAGATGCCCTCCCTGCAGGCATGGGTGCTGTCCCCAGCCCTCTGTGCTGTCCCCAGCCCTGCCTTCCCTTCCACCCCTGGAGATGTGACACAACTCATCAAATACATTACTCCAGCACAGCTTCACCTGCATGAAATCCAGAT